CAGAAGTCAGTGGGCTTCACCTCGGCGTGCGAGAACGGGTGGCGCCCCTCGTCCATTTCCGCCTGCAGGCGCGAAAGCCGAGATTCAAGCGAGGCGCAAGCAGGGGCCCCCAGAATGCTCGACTTGGTCTCGTGGTCGACGCGGGGGAGCTCCGGGAAACTCCGCATCTTGATGCCCGTGTACGCGGTGGCTGCGGTCGAGGACTCCCCGCGCGAGTTGAACTCCGAGCGATGGCCCACTTTCCGCGCGCCCTTGATCGGCATGGAGAAATACGCCACCTCCTTCTTGTTGACGGAGGCAGCCCGTGACCTCATGGCCGCCCGTAGGTCCTCCTTCTTGGTCGGCTGCGTGCACACGCACCAGATGCTCCACCAACGCGTGGGTGTTAGTAACTTGTCCTCCAGCCCATCAATGACTTGTCGGTTTGCCTTGCCCCTGCCGCAAAAAAGAATGACGATGTCGTCCTTCGTCCGCTTCGAGGCGAGGAACTCCACGAGGCGCTTGAACCTGGTTTCGTCTGACGCCATCGGTTCGCTCAGCCTCGCCCTGGCGCCTTGCTTGGCCGCGTTGGGGGGGGGGCAGCTCGCCTGAAGCGACGAACGCGCGGACGTCGCCCTTCTTCCTCCCGAAGCGATGCCCGAGGCCGATCTCCCCCCAAATGCTCTGCAACTGCGCCGTGGCAAACTCCGCGGCAGAGGCAGCGCCGACGGTAGGTAAGGTGGCGAACGTGGCGCTTTTCCTGCGGAGCTGCTTGAGTTGCTCCTGGAGCTTAGCGAGCTCCATTTTTTGATCTTCCCCGAGCTCGGAAGCCCCCGCCAACCCGAGGTTCAGGTCCACGTCGGGGCCGGCGCGGATCGGCCCACCAGTGCACGCGACCACAAAGGCGCGGTACTTAACAAACAACTCGTTGCTGGTCTCGCTGAGATACGCGTGCCAGAGGAACCCCCCTGCCGAGGCGGAGGTCGCCTGCATTTCCTGAGTGGTGAGCTCCTCCACTGCGTCGTCATAAGCGCCAGGCCGCAAAGGCCACAAGACGTCGATCATCGCCTGTTGCTTCGGCTCCCGCCCATCCCGGCACTGAGCCACTTGCAGCGCAAACAGCGTGCCCATCCCGTCGGACGCGCCCGACTTGAGCTTCCGGTGAGAAACCGCGAGCCCACCCGCACCAGAGTTAGCGAACTTCTGCATGATTTTGAGCGGCGACTCAAACATGGCCACATGACTGCGCATGGCATTGTCCATGCCCCTCGTGGAAGACGTGCTCGACGAGCTCTTTCTTCTTGAAAAACGAATGGATCAGGCGTCTTCCTGTCGCGCCCGACGACTCGGCTCGCGGCGAGCTTTTCGTCCTTCGGAATGTCGCCCGCCAGGCGGGCCACGCGCAGGCGGTCCAAGAAGTAGACGAAGAACCTCTTTGCCTTGGCGTCAGAGACAGCCCTCGCAGCGCAAGCGGTGCGATCCTCACGAGAAGCGCGGGCTCGCGAGGTTCTGGGGAGTACACGTCGCTCAGCGCGAGCGCCGAACGACAAGCGTCGTCGCTGACGAAAAGTTGCTGACCTTTCAGCGCCGCCACGCTTGCATTGGTGAGCGCGTTCCCTTTGAATGCGAGGCCGTATTCCTTGAGCGCGCCCTGCAATTTCGCAGCTGATTCCTGTTTGGAGATGTTCTCCGCCACTTTGCTCAAACGGCGCGCTTTTTCGGCCAACTTCCAGAAAGAATCTGCACCAGAGGCAGCATGCGAAGCGAACGTCGCTTCTGAGAAGGTCAGGGCGGCCAAGTTGCTCGCGTTGCCATCGGGCAACATACGCATCGTGATGGGCACGGACAGAGCGGCGTTGAACAGATACCTCACGCGCTCGTGATTGGACTGCCGGAGCGCCTCGCCCATGGCGGAATACCACGTGATGACCGCGGCGCGCCCCGCGAGCATAGTAAGAGGCTCGGTGATGCATACTGCGGACTTGCCAGGCACAGCGCGCTGCGCGACCTTGACGTCGACCACCTTGACGGGGAGAGGCACGTCGAATGAGAGGCGCCGAGACGATGTTTTCGTCGAGGAGCGGATGTACGTCTCCTCGGCCCACAGCCCCATGGCACCTTCCAGATGGCTTACGTTGACGTCGTCGATGTCCGCGCGCGCCGGATCCAACATCCACACCGCCCCAGCTCCCTCGTACTGCCCGGTCCGGTTGAAGCTGAGAATCAGGTCGTCGATGTTCATCACCTCGCGGAACGCACTGAGGGCAGCGCCAGAGGCAGCTTCACTGAAAGCCAACGGAAGAATCATATAACACTTCTCTGGCACCGCGAAAGACACCTCGCTCTTGCGCTGCTTCAAGAGGCCGAGCACAGCCTGGTCGACGTAGTTCTTCACTTCGCGCGCATACTGCGCCAACTGAACCGACTGCCCCGAGGACTCCTCCTCGAAGAGTTCCGCGATGCTCAGCGGGGCTACGGGTGCGTCGGACGGCGCGCCAGGGGCAGCGTTGACCTTCTTCGCTGAGGACTGCGCTGCGTCACTTGCCTGAGGTCTCTTCGCTGGCGTGGCTTTCTGGGCCTCAGCGGCGGGCGGCACGGCGGAGGGACTGGTCGCGTCAGGGGGCTGGAACTGCTGATCGCGTCGCGTCAGGAGGCCGACGCGGCTATGCTGATGGTGAAGATGGCGACGATGATGATGCTGCTGATGATGATGACAATGGTTCAGATGATGATTAAGATGACGAGGATGAGGAAGATGATGATGATGATGATGATGGCGACGATGGTGATGGTGGTGGTGACGACGACATGGCGCGGCAACGCGTCCATAATATGATGGCCTTCCGCGGTGGACCGGCCAGTATGTGTGTATATATATATGGTAGGGGGGGCTCCTGAGATCTACCTTTCAATTATTCGGCTTGGTGTTGCTGCTGCCTTTGTGTTGTTTCCTGTGTTGTCTTTCCTTGAAGTTCTTCCGTTGCCTAATGTGTTGCCTTTCGTGTGATCCTTTGCTCTGGCTCTTTGGCTGAGGATATGTGGTGAGTTTTCCAATTTCGGGCTGATTCGGAAACTAGAATTCTAACAATACGGAAAAACCAAAAAAAAAAAAAAAAACAGAAAAAGCGGAAACATATATATATATATATACATCAGCTGGAACCCTGCGTTTTCACATGGATCACGTGTTTCGGAGCCTCAAAATCAAAGGTTTGACGGTGAAAACACATGGTCCTGTTTGATTTTTATTGGTTTCATTTAAAAAAAAAAAATAGTATTTGGGGCAGGTGATCCCTGTGCCTGCACATGGGTCACAGTCAGACCTTACCGCTTTTTCTTAATAGAGCAAATAAAAATCAAAGAAAACCATGTGTTTGCACAGTTAAACCTTTAATTTTGAAGCTCCGAAACAAGTGATCCCCGTGAAAACACAAGGTTCCGGCATTTTTTTTCGGTTTGTCAGCTCTTTCTGGTTGTTGCTGCTTTTTCCGCCATGTTGGAAACCAAAATTCGGAGGAGCATTTCTGATAGAATTCGCGCCCTCAAAGAAACAAGGATGACGCAACCCAAGGTGTCTCCGAGCACAGCCTTTGAGATTGCAGCCCGGTGTACGATAAAAAACGAAGGCTTCCAAATTCAAGGGCCATGCTTGCCTCGTCATGTCAGAGTGCACGGCTGGGAAGCCGTTGCAAGAAAGCGTCGTGAAGAATTTCATCAGTGGTGCTGTTCTTCCATGCAGGCCGAATTTTGGGACTGACACATTGTATATGTCCTGGGAATGTTCGGCGAAATACTGGTAGCTCAACCCCGCCCTACCGTCCATAGTTGGCGGCCCGAATGACATAGACTCGCTGAGGTCATGGGCGCGCAGATTCATTGTCCTCAAACTCGAGAGCCAATTTACGCCTGACGAAAAGCAAGTCGATGTTTCTAACAGACGCTTCTTGGAAGACTCATCGATGGAATCTTTCCTCGAGGGCCAAGGGGCGCGGTGCGCATGCGTTCGCTACTTTCTGTTGCCTCGGCGGATGCAGTTCTCCAGAGAACAGATGATGTCGAGCCTGATGGACGTGAACGACCGCATCGAACAGAACACGTCTGACTTCGTTGCGCGCATGGCCGACGGAGGCTTGCTGGACCCCATGGTCGAGCTCACCCCGTATGATTACATGCCAAATGGAGGAGGTGACAGTCGACAGGCACCTCAAGAACCAAGCGCCGAGGAGAAATTAGTACGGCAAGTACACGCTGCAACTGTGGGGACATGCAAGGTCGCCGCACATGCAACACAGAGGATGACGGGGATCCCTGGCGCGGCAACGAAGGCGAGCAAAAAGGGCAAGAAGTCGAGGGAGCAATATTTATCTGAAGCAGTTGATGCATGGCCGCATTTACTACGTCCCGCTGGCAGCGGCACTTATCATAGGTTTGACATCGAATTGAAGAAGTTCGACGAGCTCCTGGTTACATACGGCTCTCAACATTTCGGGTCTTGGGAGGAATGGGGATCTCCGTGGGCCAGCGGCGAAGTCATGTCAGAGCACATTGCAGAACCTGTGGAAGAGGACTGCGACGGCGCGCTACATGAACCACGGGATGACGACGTGCTCGCGTGCACTTTGACAGAGCACGTTGACCTGGCCGCGCTTCGGGCTCGCCATCAAGGGGGCAGCGACCGCAGGCCTGATGTGTTGCGCAGATACATTGCCCGCTGTGAGAATGAAGGCGATATCATGGGCAACTGCGCTGGTGTTCGAGTGTCTTATCATCGCAAGCGCGGGCTGCCTGGGAGGATGCGCGCGCGGGGCCCAGCGCTGCAGTGGCTGACTAAGGAGTCGCGCGCGGCTGCTCTGGCGGGCATGAACTACAGCGTCGACATCCAGAACTGTTTCCCCACGCTTCTTCTTCATGATGTCCGAAAGCTACGTGCCAAGGACGACGTGCCGCTGCGATCCTTGGGGCTCTTTGTCAAATACCACGCCATTTGGAGATAATTTGTCAAGGGGCACTTGCAAGTTGAGATGTCCGAGGCTAAGATGGCGATCTCGAAGATCTTCAGCCTCGGCAAGCCAGGTGCCAACTTACCGTTATTGCTGTCGCTCGCCGTGGACGTGGCTCAATCAAAAGACATCTTATTGAAGTCCGCTCGTTTCCAGCATCTGCGGTTACTCTTTCGGGAGCGGCCACGGCCATCGGCGACGCGGTTTTTCTACGCCCTGTCTGAGTGCGAAGACGACGAGCTGCAGCGAATGTTGAAGTTCTGCGCTGCCAACAACTGGGTTGTGAACTGCTGCATTTTCGACGAGATCACCCTATCATCGCCGGATCAGCCGTTCGTTATTAGCGACGCATTCGAAGAGCTACAGGAGAAGCCCGTGGTCAAGTACAGGGTAAGTTGTGCCACGTCAGCCAAGCCGCTTCTCAGCGAACTGCTCCTCGCGCATGGTCGCGCCGTTCGACGTGAAGAATTGCCGCCCCCTCTCGCGCCAGACGTTGGTGGTGCCTGCTTATACCACGCAGTTCAGTACTTGGACGTTGCCCCCAACCAGGCCTGGCCGCCGTGCGACGGCCCCCACAACGTTCGCAGTTTCAATGAGCATTGGGGGCATGACTCTCAGAGAGAGCAGTCGGTATTATTGCTGCAGGAGTGTGGCATGGCACCTAATGATGTGTTTCGTGTGCACTCGGAGGTCGTTTGTTGGCAGCCGCATGCAGAAGGATGTGGGCATTTCGCAGCTTTGAAGATGAGCGGGGGCTGTGTTGACATTTACGATGCCGCTATTGGATCGATAGTGCGGGCGCCACTTCACAATTTCGTGTCAGCTGCGCTGAGGTTCGAGAAGATATACTTTTATTACGCAAAGTGGTACGATGTTTCTGGTCTCCCCACAATGGATGGCGCAGCTTACGAAGTCGAAGGGTCTGGTCGTGGACGATCGACATGTTGTATGCAGAAGGCTGGTCAGGGTGGTCCCATGAAGAGAATTGCCAAGTGGCCCGCGTCGTGTTTTCCAGCACCAAAGAAAGGAAAACGGCGCATGTATGCGCGACCTGGGAAGCCCGACAAAAAGAAATTCTCCGCGCTGTGGAAGAAGACGCCGTATGTTCGGTACGGCATCAAGTCTCATGGCAAGCGAAAACTGCAGAAGTGGGCAATGAGCATTGAGAAATTGGACGGCCTGACTGAATTACAAGTGGTCCATGAGCTAACAAATGCTGGCTTCTTGAAGGGTTGGAAACACCACTTTTGCCCATTCTGCGGCGCGTACAACATCGGGAAGCTGCGGCGCCGCAAAGACAGCGGTTCTCTCAGCTACAGGTGCAACGCCAAGGGCTGTCAGAAACACACCTTGCCACATGCGAATCACATGGTCTTTACTACGGGGTGGTGCAAGGATTACAAGTCTTTGGTATCGCAGGCAAAACTACTATTGGGCATCACTGTTGGCTTGACGACAGCGCAGCGCCATTTATTGTGGGATCATGATGAGAAGTACGTGAGACGCTTCGCATCGCGTCTGGACGCTGCTCGTTCTCGTTTCGTGAGAATGCAGGAGCCGCAGATCAAGTTCGGAGCTGGGGACAATCGGACGTGGCATGACGCGGAAGCAGACGAGGTTGATCTAAGCCAAGAAATTGTTGACGTCGGGCGCTGCAAGCGGGCGAAGTGGCACCAGTGGGGTGGCATCGTTCAGAGAGGCGCGCCATCTTCGCTGGCGATGTTCAGGACGTCTCCGAAGACCACGAAAGTGCGATCACCAGGCCCTGGGCCAATCACTAAGAAAGATTGGGGACCGCAGTCGGCGAAGTGGTTGCGCGGTCGCTGCCTGTCCTCGCATGCCGACGGCGCCCGTTCCTACAAGATGGGGGCCAACAGGAAGAGAATCATTGACGGGATTATTCACGACTTTGTGGGTCACAAGAAAAAGAAAGTCAATGGCAAGTGGTCGCGCCCCAAATACGTTCAATTATTCCGCCACCGCATGCCGGACGGGAGCGCCATCTGCACTCAGGGTGGCACGCAGATTATCGACCGAATCTGGCGCCATGTGCGTGCTCTAATGGGGAGCAGGTCCCCTGCGATTAACCAGCGCTCTTGGGATGGTCGCGCCCGTTCTGCCCAGTGGTTATTCTGGCACACTGGACGTGATCTGCGGTCGAAAACTGGGGAGATGTTTGCTGAGTTGAGCTCGAAACATTAGGTCATTCCTCTGCCGCGCTGCCTCGATTCTACTGAATATGCCCTGTTGCGCTCCCCACCTGCTGCCGACAAAAGTAAGATCAAAGTGTCCGCGTAGTCTTCTGCTGAACTGAGCTCGAAGCATTGAGTCATTCCTTTGCCGCACTGTCTCGTTTCTACTGAATATATGTCCTGTTGCGCTCCCCACCTGCTGCCGACAAAAGTAAGATCAAAGTGCCCGCGTAGTCTTCTGCTGAGCTGAGCTCGAAGCATTCGGTCATTCCTTTGCCGCGCTGTCTCGTTTCTACTGAATATATGCCCTGTTGCGCTCTCCACCTGCTGCCGAAAAAGTAAGATCAAAGTGCCCGCGTAGTCTTCGCACGATTGTCAATGGCAGCAATCGTCGTCGTCGGCGCAACGTGTTCCTTTGATCCGAAATGACAACTTACTCAGACTAGAAACTGGCACGCATACAAGCAAACATCGCATGCTGCACGCGACGACTTCTCGCACGAGTGATACACCATGCTGCTTCGTAGTATCTTTTGAAATGGCAAAAAGGTAGATCTTAGGATCCCCCCTAGCAATATGGTATATATATATATATATATATATATATGTCCGAGCGGGTCATCCACGACCCTGTAAGCGTCGCACTTTTGGGCTAGTATCAGGCGGGGGCCTCGTCTGTGAGTGCGCTGCGAGGAAGTCTCAGGCGGGGCGCCCTTCCCCATGGGGCCCGCGCTTCGTGTTTCTAATCCGAGCGGGTCATCCTCGAACCCGTAATGGTCGTCTCTTTTGGGCCCCTGAGGCCTATGAACGGGGGAAGCATCAGGCGGGGGCCCGTCTGCGAGTGAATTGCGTGGAAGTCTCAAGCGGGAACCCTCTCTTTATGAGGTCCGCACTTTATATTTAATCCGGGCGAGTCACCCTCGAACCCGTGGCTGTTGTTTTTGCAAGGTCCCCGAGGCCTGAACATGGAGGAAGTACCCCCGAGGCCTGAATGTGGAAGAAACATTGCGCGGGAAGCCTCGCGCGTGAGCGAGCTGATAGGAAGTCCTGGCCCCCCCCTCCTCTCCCCCCCCTATGGGGCTTGCACTTCGCGTTTTTAATCCGAGCGGGTCATCCTCAACCCTGTGAGCGTCGTCACCTTTGGGTTCCCGAGGCCTGAGCATGGGGGTGGCATCAGGCGGGGGGCCTCGTCTGCGAGTGAACTGCGAGCACGTCTCAGGCGGGGGCCCCCTCCCTATGGGGCCCGCACTTCGCGTTTTTAATCCGAGCGGGTCGCCCTCAACCCTGCGCGCGTCGCCACTTTGGGGCCCCCGAGGCATCAGTGTGGACGTGGTATCAGGCGGGGGGCCTCGTCTGCGAGTGAACTATTAGGTCTCAGGCGGGGGCCCCCTCCCTGCGCGCTCTTCAGAGGGCGACTCGCCCGACCCACCAAGTGAATAGGAAGAGGAGGAACAGGTGGTGAAGACGACGGCGGCCGGGCGCAAGGGGGGGGCCCTTGCGTCCGGGCTGGGGATGATACCCCATCCTCGGTCGAAGCGGGGGCAGGGGGGGCCCTCGTCTCCGGGCTGGCGGTGGCAACCCATCGCCGGCCGAATCGGGGGCGGGGGGGGGCACCTGTCTCCGGGCTGGCGGTGGCAACCCATCTTCAGCCGAATCGGGGGGGGCCCTTGCGTCGGGGCCGCGGGTGGTGACCCACCAACGGCCGAATCGGGCTCGCCGCAAAGCGTGGCTTCGCGCTGCCTCCCGCCTGAGCGCGGTCGCGACTCGCTCGGTGCCTGCGGGGCCGCCCCAACGGCATGCCCCCGCGCCCCAGCGGCTCGGGCGGCTACCCCAACGGCCTGGCCCGCGGGGTCGCCCCAACGGCCGCGCGGCGCGGCCATTCGAGAACGCGCCCGCGCTGGCCGCAGCGGCGACGGCGTCGAAGAAAATCGCCGCGCGCACCTCTGCGGTGGACAGGAGAGGAGGCGGTGGGCGACGACGCAAACAGCAGGGGGGCGAGGCAAGGGCAACGCGGGGAGAGTGCGAGGGCTTTGCGCCACGCCTCACAAATCGCGAGAACGACAGCGAAGGTCATTCCCGGACTAACCGAACATATTTGCATGCGGGGTCTTTCCGTCGGAGAAATTCTAGAACGCAGTGCTCGATTGGCTTTAGCAGCTGCCGCAACTTGCATAGTCGATTCGCGGCTGATATCGCGAACCCGCCGTTCTCGTGAATGGTCATACCTTTCCGTTCGTTCATCGTCTAGCGTTGGCAAGTCAAACAGACCTGCCGGCTGGCGTCCGTGCAACGCTTGACGTGGGCATAACCTACTGTAGGACGAAAGGCGCTGGTCACGAACGTTGCTGCATGCAGCAACCAGAGGAAGTTGAATGGTATGTTACGTTGTTTGAAGTCTCCCTCCATCACGTGAATGGTTTGTCGTAGAAATCCATATGGATTACATTGCCATGGCGCGTTGTCCGCGCGCTCGGATCCTGAGCGCAGTGCCCTCGTGCTTGAAAGTGCCCCGTGCTGTGTCGTTGAGGGCGCCTCATCTAAATGTATGATCTCTACACGGCCACGCTGCAATCGCGGGAAGCGGCGCGCGTCCAGCGCCGAAGTCATGGCCCAGCTGCAAAGCGCATGCGTCGGTCTATAATGCGGAAAGCGATGTGCGTCGTATAAAAGACCAGGTCTCAGTCACATTCCTCATTGGATGTCCCCGGCAAGGCCATCGACGGCGTCGCGGCGTTGCCTGGGCCCTCCCGTGCTCGCATTCCCGACGCGAGACACACGTTCGCTTGATGAGGTCACGCCGATCGTCGTCAAGGCCTATCTTCGCCAGGATAAGCTGGGAATGAACGCCCCCATGGGTTTTCGTGGCCAAGCGATGTCGGTCAAAAGAAGCGAAGAAGGAGTGCATCCCTGAACCCATGAGAAGGCTTGTAAGAAGGATTGTTAGGGAGGGAGGAAGAGAGGTGGACATGGCGAGTGGAGGAGAGGGAAAGGTGGGAAAGACAGAGGTTGTCGAGAGGAGGCGGAGAGGAGGAGAGGCTGGAGGATAGTTCGTTCACCATCAGCTAAATGCATCGAAAAATTCACCCGGGCGTTTCCGAAGAGGCAGGGGGCGGCGGTGGTTCGCAGCAGGCGTCTTCGATAATCGGGGCCAGTCCTGATGATTTGGCGTCGTTCTTTGATTCGCGCAGACAGCGCCGCCTCGCTGATCCGCAGCTGGCGTCTCGCGGAGCAGGGATGGGGCCCCTCCTCCTCCTCTCCTCCCCCTCCTCCTCCTCCTCCTCCTCCCTCCTCAACCCCTCCTCCTCCTCCTCCTCCCCCCCTCCCCCTTCCCCCTCTTCTCCTCCTCGCCCCCCTCCTTGTCCTCGTCGGTTTTTCCATCGACGGCCGCGGTGTCCCGAATGCGCGATGATTGGCCGCTAGACGCGCAGTGCACGCGCATGTTCGCGTGATACGAAACGCACCCCGGGGCCTCGCTTGAAAAAAATCACCCCCCCTCGCCCCCCCACCCCTGCCTTCTGATCCTCCTCGGCAGAAGTTTCTCCACAGGGTGGGGGTGCAATGCGCGCCAGATCCTGAGAGGTACTCCTCCGCGCCCCCCTCGCCCTCCCCCTCCTCCTCTTCCATTCCCACCCCTCCCATCCCTGCCCCCCCGCTTCCTCCGCAGCACGACGTTTCCCACGTGGTCCAAGCGCAATGCGCGCATTGCGCCGCGCCTGTTTGACATCTCCCACTTCCTTTTCGACACTTGACTGGGCGTGTCCTCCTTCTCCTCCTCCTCGTGTTTTTGTTGCCAGTTTCCTACGGTTTCCTTCATCAGCTGATGCTCCCGGATGATCTGATTCAGCGTCGGGCGGCCCCGGCGAGGTTCGGGGCTCGGCCGCCTCCAGGCCCGCGGGGGGCCCCCTCCTCCTCCTCCTCCTCCCCCTCCTCCTCCCCCTCCTCCTTTTCCTCTTCCTCCTCCCCCCCCCCTCAGTTTTCCCCATGCACGAGCTATTCAATTTCGGCGCATTCCCCCATGATCGCGAATGCGCTCTTTCTCGCGACCGCTAACCTTGAGGGGCGCGCAGGTGCGCACTCCAAATGCCCGACCGATGAAGTCTCGAGCCCAATTTCGGTGCACGCAGAATGAATTGCGTTCCTCCTCCTCCTCCTCCTCCTCCTTCACCCCCTCCTCTCCCTCCCTTCTCCTTCGTTGCGAAGTGCTCTTTGCGCGACTGATGCGATGCCGTCGGCGATGCGTGCGTCCTGCGCTGCCTCCTTAGCCTGCTCCAGAGTCTGCTCCAGAGTGACCGCCTCCTCCTCCTCCCCCTTCCCCCCCTCCTCCTCCTCTTCCTACTCCTCCCCCTCCTCCCCCTCCTCCTCCTCCTCCTCCTCCTCCTCCTCCTCCTCGCTCCTCCTCCTCATTCCCCCTCCTCCTCCTCCCCCTTCACTTTCCCACGTTTCGTTGCTTGCGCAGTGTCGTCGCCTCGGAAGCCCCATGTTCCCGCATGTGGCCGCATTTCGCGCGCCCGGAAAACCGCCTCCTTCCTCTCCCTCTTCCCCCTCCTCATCCTCCTCATCTCCGCGCGCGCCGCTATAATCGTTGACGCTGCGCTGCGCTGACAGCGAAAGCCAAAGCCGCAGCCGAAGCGACTGACGTAAACGCACTCATGTGCGTATGTCCGTAGTCTAACCCAAGGTTGCAGCTGCAACTCGAACTCTGGTTGCCCCGAGCGGGCGGCCCCAGGCAGGGTGCGCGGTAGCGCCTCGCAAGTTTGCGCGCGTTGGAGCAGGTCGGAGCAGCTTCTCCTCCTCCTCCTCCTCCTCCTCCTCCACCGGCTCCTTTTCCTTCTCCCCCTCCTCCTCCTTCTCCTCCACAATTACACAATATGAAAATGCTCTCCCACTTCCCCCGATGGCGGTGGAACCGCATGCGAGCGCAGCCAGTGGGGCCTTCGGTGGAGCTCCCTATGGGGCCACGAAGCGTGTGAGGGGTGTGCCAGAATTGGGGGTGAAACCGCATGCGAGCGC